GTGATCACCACTGTACTTAATAACAGTAACTAATAACACTAATAACTAATAAAGACACAGTGATCACCACTGTAGAGGTGTTTCTCTCTGTAGTCTGTTAAACTGTGTCCTGTGTTCTGTTTATAAGCACAGGATCCATTTCTACCGGCGGAATGCGATCGTCTTATTTATGAATTATTTGCGTCTGTACGTTTAGAAATTGTGACTGTGACGTCATTATTAAATAACCCAGAATATGATTATTGTTTCTCTTAAATGATAAAACTCATCAAACACTCAGGAATGATGTATAAAGTGTTTCGTCTCTCCAGCTCTCTCTGACTTTAATTGTATTCATAACTAGAAAATTTCGCAAGAAATTTTGACAGTGTGGCTTCTACTGCCCGAAGACGTCGCAATATATAGCTACACACGCTGATGTTACCGGTAGTATCGTTGATGTTCGATTGAGATATCGCTTCTCTCTTTTCTGCATTTTAGATTCATACTCTTGGATTGAATCTTGTATTCGTGATGGACAGTCCACAAATGGCCCCCGTCATTTCTGTACTGGACATGTACATCTTTGTTTGAGAAGCCTTTGGAAATGATGGGAGCTAACGCGCCCATCATTTCTGTACAAACCTCATTCTGAGCTTCATGTTAAGATACAGTTACTCTATGGGGCTTTTATTTTGAAAGGGTGGGACTGGGTGGGTGAGAGAGGGGGAGAGGAGACATATTCATAATGTTTGACACACAAACACAGAGGTTATTAAATGACAGGCTTCATCACAAGCATTCCAGTTAGAATTCACTCTCTGGAGCTTTTATTTTGAAATGGGAGGGGGGGGGGGTTCTCTGTATGATAGAGAGAGAGAGACAGACGTAAAGAGAGACAGAGTGATGAGAGAGACAGACAGACAGACAGAGAGAGAGAGGAGGTTTAACAATGCCTTTGACTGAATATCTCCAAGTCATGTGTGTGTGTGGAGAGAGAGAAAGAGAGCGAGAGAGAGAAAGAGAGAGAGCTAGAGAGAGAAAGAGAGCGAGAGAGAGAAAGAGAGAGAGCTAAAGAGAGAGAGAGAGAGAGAGCTAGAGAGAGAGGGCGAGAGCGAGAGGGAGAGAGAGAGCTAGAGAGAGAGGGAGAGAGAGAGAGAGAGAGAGTGTAACTGGTTGCCATGGTGAGGACGCACCTGGTGTTAGAGGCAGACTGATTAAGAAACATTACAGTAAACAGTGATTTTGAACAAAACCTCCTTTTAACAAATTAGCAGGAGTCTGAGTGCCAAAATATGGATACCGTGAGAAAGATAAGACTCTGGCAAACGCGCTGATGTGTTTTTTATGTTTGTGGTGTTAATAATGTGAGCTCCAGAGCAATATGCAAAGCTGGTACCGTCTGCTTTCTTTGAGAAATGACTGGTCAGATTTAACATGGAGTCTAATGGAGCAGTTGGTTGGAGTTCATGTCGCTCTGCGGCTCTTTGAGCCAAATGTGTAAGTCCGTTGGATTCCACAGATACTTTACTGCGACCAGCACAACATTTCCAAGCTTTTTGGCCAAAATGGTGAATAAAGAGTAAACATTGTGGGAGCTGGAGCAATTTGTTTGGAAAAATCACAGAATATTTTCCTGCTCCGCTCCACTCTGACAGTTATGCTCTCACTCTAGCTCTTAACGAGCCGTGCAATACACACCCATTATAAAATCTGAAACTGACCCAAAATGTTCCTGAAACTTAATCTGTGACTTCATGAAAACTGTGCTACCTATCAAAATGTCCCTTTGGCTCAATACAGTGCAGAGTTTTGTCTACGTTTTAAACTTTGAATCATGTTTCTACGTTAAAGTACGGCTCGTCAATATGGGCCCAAAGTTAAGTGTTTTTTTAGCTCTCTTCACGCCGGAACCCCATTCAAGTGAATGGAGAAACTTTGCTCAGTTTTTGGGGAAAACCGCTGGGCTATTCTCTCCGAAAAATAGATAGCACACTATTCCCGATCAGGCCTGTGGAGGTCTGATTCTTCCTCACACGAGGGAAGGCCGCTGAACACGCTCCACTGCTGTTTACAGTAGAGTCGCTTCGATAATAAAATCTACCATAAACTGGTTTACAATCAAAAGTATTTAATCCTACTGAAGCTAATACAATTACAAAGTGAAGTACATTATTTACAGTATCTATAGATATATATTCTGCTCAGAAAAGCATTTTACCCTCATCCCAGCCTGGAAGCACAGCTGCCCTCACGTTGAGACCAGAGGAAAAGAGGCTGAATCTTTTCTCCGCACTCCCATTCACAGTTTGAAATCCCTTCCCATATTGTCCATCTTAGTTCCTATTGGCTAACTCCAGCTGGCTCCTCCTTCTCGCGTCAGCCAGCTAGGACCCTGGCACGGGGCTGCTCCTTCTGCGTCCGCTGAAATTGCCTGTCTAGAAATCTCTGTCTGTCCCTACGCCAGTGGTGGGCCGTCAGGGCCTGCAAGGCCTTCTCTGCTGGCCTAAACAGAATCACAAAGCTATATATATTAAAAAAAAAAAAAAAAAATCTATTTTATAATTTAATCATTGTTCTTAAATACACTACATGTATTATAATTGATAAAAATATATTTTTCCCATTATCTTATGTTCTCATTGCACAGCTCCTGTCTTCCTCAGTTGCTCTGCTTCCAGTGCAGCTTGTTTTAAGTAGAGCTTTTATCCAATCAGATCTCACCTCTGTGTCTCTAGGTAAGAACAGAGGCAGAGGCCTGCAGACTCTCACCTGCAGCCAGTGCAGATTAAAGTAAATGGGGACGATATTGTTGATTGTCATAGTGTTCAACCAATCAGATCTTTAGTTTGACATGTTGGGCGTATTCTTTGACGTGCCAGAGCCTGCGCGCTGGCCTATAATGACTGTCAGCATTACATGCCGCCAGTGTCCTTGTGTAGCTTTCCCGCGAGGTACAGAGTGTGCTGTGATTGGTCATTGGGCGAGCACGTGACTATCGTGAAACAAAACGTAACAGCCAGCAGAGGCTGATGGGTAGTGAATCACATCACGTGATGCAGCTCAGCCAATCAAAATGCATTCTGACTGAGTGAGATGCACCATGAGAGAGGGTGCTGAGCCGAGGAAAGACATTGCAGAGCAGTCCGTTCAATGCTGGAATCGTGATAGTAAGATCCTATGTTAATCTCTTTGGGTCGTGACTTGTCATTAAGGAGTGACAGTGGATCCCACAGCCAGACCAGCTGACAACATTATATTTTACTGAATTTAGGCTTTTGCACTTTCTAAATGCTCTAGCATTGTTCAGACGACTAGTACTGAACGGTTTAATACGAAGACGTACATAGTTACAGCCTTAAAATGAATAATAGCTGTGGCGCCATCATGTGGTTGTAAGGTGGTATTTCAGCTGCAGGACAGCAGTGAAGGCCCAGGTATAAAATGCACTGCCCGCCACTGCGCTACACCTTACTCTTAAACATACTATATTAAAGATAAGGATGTGCAACTTTTGGCAAAAACTTCACACGTTTTACAAGCGTAGATGGTAATCTCCAAGTACTTGCTATCATATTATTCTCCACCTGTAAGAGGTGCTACTAATTCTACTAACTATAAATTCTAAAATACTCCTATAATTATGACTAATTATGAATTCTTAAACACTTCTAATTATGATTTCTTAATTATGAATCATTAAACACTTCTATTATAATTTCTTAAAGCACACTTCTAAACCTATATTTCCTACAGGCCACACGTTTTGATGTATTTGTCACGCCGCTGTTGGCAACACTCTGTGAGGAGAAGCACGTCTAACTTTTGGATAAGTGTTATTTTCTGCTTTTTTCATGTTGGAATAAAGGTTAAATATTTAACTGTAAAGTAGTAATACGTGTTTGATACTTTAATGTTTTTGCATTAAATCATTCTGGGATGTTTGCTAAAATTGATTGGATGTGGCACAGCCCTACAGAGAACATGTTCCACCAGCCGCCACTGTTTGTATCTCTACTGACGTTCTCCAGCAATTTAGTACACACACATTCATAGTCCATAGCCTGTTGTTTAATATTTATACCTGCAGTTCACCTTTGAGCCACACGAGGGAGCCTGAATGTTGGTCTGATAATTGTGTTCTACTTATAACACTGAATCTAATATGAAAGACTAGTTCACGGACTGATGAGAGGAAATAAACACAATCGGATAGTCTGTTAACTCCACCGAAATGCATTTATTTGGTCTCATTTATTAAGTATTAAACAAGTGTGTATGTTTTCAATAACACATTTCCTTTTTCAAAGTAGGTCCCAATAAAACAAGTTCATCATGGTGCAGCAGAGGCTGAGATATCTTAACTTTTAGTCCCTATTGTTTTGGTTTTGCTCAAAACATACTGGTTCCTACATTTCCCACAATGCAACTTTTATTCACATCCTCCCTTCCTAATAAATGTCCACCTCTGTCCCCAATTTGTGAAGCAGTTAGAAGTCTCTGAGCTAAAGCTGAGGTGTGTGTTGAGTCAGTGGTGTACAAGGCAAAGCGCCGTGGTTTGAACCGTATTGTGTAATAAACAGTGTATTACATTACATATCTAACTACTTATGGATTGAGTCATTTAACTCTCCACTGAATCAAATGATCTCTGTTGGCAGAATCAAGCCTTGAAAAATACAAGTATCTGATATTCAGTAGAGCTACAGTCCTCAGCTCTTTGTGGTCCTCCTAAGTTGGTTTGTGTATCTTTGAGTGACTTTTGTAGATGAATGCCAGGGGGGCCCCTGACCATTTGGGCCCCTGGGCCTGGTCCCGGTACTTCCTGTATAAGCCACCAGCATTGACATCTGACCTCTCTATGACGGGAGACAAGTGACAAGTTGATTCCCTTCATGAATAAATGAGTTCCACACTCGTCTGAGTAACAACTTACGTAGACATCGAAAACAGATCAAAGACCAGACGTAACCAGCTCTGCATTCATTTAGAAACCGTCCATCGATCGCAGTGAAGCAGTGAACTGAGTTCAGTCAGCATTAGCACACTGCATCACTGGTTCTGATTCTTTACATGCTGCCAAAAAACAGCAGGAAGTGAAATAAACTTGTGTATAATCCATTTAAAACTGTACATCTCTGAGTGTTTAAGCATCGTAGACTTGTGCATCAGCAGACATAAATAGTGTGAAGTCGCTGTGGAGGCAGATTAGAGGTCAGGACACCCAATTACTGAACACCATAACAGACACATAGTCTGCATAGTGATCATAGTCTCCATGTCTGCAGAGTGTACTCATGCATTAATCTACTATAAGGTACATTCAGTAGTTTGTTGTACATGTATCTTTAAAGGGAGTTGTATTAAAACATTTTGTGTGCCGTGGTCAGACAGCTAAATTGCAGAACAAAACATTTTTGTTAGAAGTCTTTTGCTTCTCTGATCAGAGCCTCGTGCTCCTGGTTCTCTTACCACAGTCGGGAGCGACGCTCTTCGATCCCCTCGAGTCCCCGCAGCTCTTCTGAAGCTGTGTTTTCTGTCCCTGGCGTGTCCTCCTTCTGCTCCATGTCCCCAGTAACTGCTCATCCATTTTGTGAAGTTCCCGTCATCGTTGTCGTCGTCGTCCGTGAAGGCAGGCAGGAGCCTGAGGGCCATCGTGACCGGGGGAGCCTCCTGGAGCAGTAAGATGGAGGTGTGATGATGGTGCAGATGAAGGTGTGATGATGGTGCTGATGAAGGTGTGATGATGGTGCAGATGAAGGTGTGATGATGGTGCAGATGGAGGTGTGATGATGGTGCAGATGGAGGTGTGATGATGGTGCAGATGAAGGTGTGATGATGGTGCAGATGGAGGTGAGCTCACCTGGAAGCCTCTGAATCACAACTCTTCTCAGGCAACGATCAGATCCTTCTGGAGCCTCGAGCTGCTCTCACTGATCCCAAAATAAAGTGCAGAGCTCTTTTGCCGGAGTCTTTAAATAAGTGAATCCTCTATAATCTATTTACCGTGGCTGGTAGAAAGTAAACATGGAGGGTTGATGGGAACCAACAGGGAGAGAGGAGTGGCGTGTGTGTTCTGGAGCTGGGTGGGCGATGTGACCACTGCTTTTATTCTTTCCATTACAGTCGTGGGCCTCGGGGGAGACGACTGAAACTCCAATTTCCCCATAGTTTCCACTCGCTGGGTCCATCAAACCTGTCAATAGTTAAGGAGCGTGCTGCGCTGTGAGAGCCTGAGGCGGCTCTCATACCGGACACAGAGAGGAAGCACAATTTTATTATTACAAGTGCACTGGATGAGGTCCAGTACACTCTCTTATTTGTTCACCAAAACTCTCCAATAATGATGTGAAAGAAACATATCTGATCAGAATCTACTTCATTGCCAAGTGGGTTTTCACATAGAGGGAATTTGTTTTGGTGTAGTTTAGTTTTTTTAATTTATTTTGCACAATTAATAGAAATAAACAAACATAACAAAGATAAACAATATCCCAGTGCAGGAAGAGGCAAAAAGCCAACTGGGCTTATTTGAAGCCTCCACCTTTACAATATTAAAACTTCACAATATTACTGAGAACATGAAATAAATGTGCATAAGACATGACTATACGTACAATATTACTGACAAGATGTTTTTACAAGATATGAAATAAAATATTGGTATTGGTATTGATTGTATTGGTGCATATTGTAGAGGAACTCTTCCTTCACAACCTGAAAGGATCAAACTGTCTCAGAGAGGAGGACTAATCTGATGAGAGAGACGCCCACGCTGCTTTAACCAGCTCAAGATTACAGTAATCTGCTGTTTTTCCAAAAGTGGCTAAAGGCTCTTTAAATATTCCTTCATGACACTAGAAAACACTAATCCTCCCAGCAAATAACCCAATATTTTAAGATTACGGGAAATGTTTTAAGTTTAAATTTAAGTTTAAGTTTAAGTTTTTAAGTTTTATGTTTTTAAGAGATAAAATAAAATAATCCTTTATTAGTCTGTATACTGTACATATATATACTGTATATATACAGTATATATATATATA